AATTCAAATCAATAAGCCTGCTGGACCGGGCCATTAGAAAAATCCTCCTGAAGCTGCTGCCTTTACAAATAGAAGTGAGTAGCTATGACAATGAATGAATGAATGAATTTATTCCTTAGCTAAAATCTTGGAACGGCGGCAATAGAGCTAACTTTTGCTGCGGTACTCACATAGAGCTTATATTTTTTAGCTCTTGAGTGTTTCGCCTTCTGATGGTAAAATTCATCTGTAATTCAGTAGGCAGCAGTGCATAGTGTACTCATAGGCCATATCCGTCAGAATGTCAAACTCAAGCCTTAACTACGACATGATAATGTGAAAACACTGTACGGACGATGCATGAATACCAGAATTTAATGATAAGAGCAAGTGATTATGAGATCGAATAACGTATGCATTGCCCCGAATATGCCTACCTAAATGTCAGGGTTTTCTTCGGCGTCTTCATCTCGCTGCGTGTTCACTCAATTGCAACTACCTCCAGCACATGTCACGAAAACGTTCACACGCACACATAACTTTCGAAAATTTAAATGCGTTTATGCATAAATGTAGCTATGGCATCGTGCTTTGATAATCCATAATGTTCTTATTTAAACTTACCTACCTGGTGTTTTGTCTTACCTCTTTTGTGTTGTTCACTCAATTTTAATCTGTTTAGCATGTTACTACGGAGCACAGATCAATTACTTTTACAGGCAACATTCAGGAAAATGAAAGAGCAGCATTTATCTTACTCGAATATATGCAGAATGGCAACCGCGGCAGTAAACTTGACATTAAATACTACTATACGTAATGGTGCTTATCCTGTGTGGTTCTTAGAAGAGTAACCAATAAGCGATCCAAAAGTGATTCACCCAATTATTTTTAAGCTACAATAACTTTTCCACTTGATCTTTGCATCTACACGGGTGGTGAGCTCTGGAAACAGTTATGCCTTTTCATTATTGATCCTGCTGTTTTTTCTCTTTCTTGCTCGATATCTGCTGTAAGCAATTTAAAACAGGTCATTTTCCGTTTGTTCATAATAACATAAAAACAAGACATCGATAAGCCGTTACGCCAAAAATGTATCATGAAGCAAGTCTGGCTGCAAACCAAAACATCAGTTGATGATGTATAAATTGAATGCAACTGTGCATTGTCTTCTTCAAGTCATCAGCTTCTCACACTCAGTAACATAACAGCACTGCTGGAATGTCGTTCGCATGTCCAACCTACTTAGCCTAATCATGCAGCAACCTGATTCGAAATACGTGCAGTCGGTCAGCTTCGATATGTTATCGTTTTGGGTCTAGGAAGCAGCAGTGTCAGGCATCAGACAAATTCCCTATCCTGTGCAACCATCTGAACTTCGGCAGAGGAAAACCTAAGTTTGGAGTAGCGCACAGTCCGTCGAAGGACTTGCCGCCAGGCAATTCATGGCTGTCCCCGGTGCATTCGACCTTTCTTTCTGGACGCATTGGCAAAATGTGCCCAGGCCATCGCGGCGACGAAATCCTAATCGGGAGAAGCAGAGATCGTACATCAAGGTAATATATACGGCTACTGCCGAAAAATGTGGACCAAACGGAAACCTGGTTGATGACGTCATAACCTACCAAAGTTTTGGATTTAGGATTCTGCTAATGATACCTACTCATTAGCTTAGCTGAAAATAAGATAACAATTTGAACGATTCATGGTTCAGGGCACCAAACACTGCAGAGAGCACAAGGATGTAGTTGCGGCGCGTTTCGCTACG